ATTTTATTGTTCCTGGTATCTAACATGGCTGCCATGATCATGTGATGTTGCTAAGCCACTGTAGCTGTATACAGTACATGTAGAGATGAATGTAGAGATAATATTTTCATGTATTTATTATTATCAGAGCTGCCAATTTAGTTGGTTTGAATGTACTGCAGCTGATGAATGACAACACTGCAGGTAGTTATTGACATTTTTTAATGGTATATTATGTTATACCCAATGCCATACACCTAACCAGCTAAGGTGTTGCTATGTATTTTACCACCCAAATCAAACCTTCTGTGAATAGAAGCATTTGTCTCTACGAATTCAAAACTGAAACCAAAATATAACAAACAATGAAACTAACTCCCATGTGGCTTGAATTGGGTGGAAGCGTTTATAGCAATTAGGACTATTGTATATTCATTAGTATTCTGGTATATCACTCTTCTCATTATGCTCTGAAGTTTTTTAGAGATCGTGGGACATAATAGTATTGATATTTGGTGTAATAAATTGTTAAACTTTGGTATATTTTTTCTGTTTTAGTTGCTCTTAATTTTGGTTTATTCAGACAGAAGAGTTTCAATGAAAGCTTAGAAAAAGTAAGAAATGTTTAAGTAATGAAACAACCTCATTATTTATCTATTATTAGAATGCATCTGATACTTATTGATGTTTATTTACTTTAAAGCACATCATGTTTTATGACATGGGAGCATCTAACACAGTGGCTACTATTGTTGGTAAGTTTAATCAAACAGCGACATACTATTCTTAAATACTTTATCTTGAAGTTTTATAGTTTGGTAGATTGATATCCATCCATTCATTCTATTCTTATTCAGGATACAGTATGGTGAAGTCAAAGGAGAGAGGAATCACTGAGAAGGTTCCCCAGCTCGTTGTTAAAGGTGTAGGGTAAGTAACACCACTGTCTTGAGCACCTTCTTGGGGCATGCATTGTTTTCTTAGTAGAAATTCAATATACAATTGAGGGACGTCCCTCAGCAGCTATTTTAAGGGCAAATTTAAAAAAAAGTTCAGTGCAATATTTTTAGATACTAAGTGGATGGAAGAAAAATAACCTTGTTATGATTCTTTTGTTTATTAATTTGTTATAGGTTTGATCGAGGTCTTGGAGGGCATGCAATTGACATGAGGCTCAGAGACCATTTAGTCAAGTTATTCAAGGTAAAACATGGAAAAAATTAAATTTGCAAAAGCACAAATCAAAATCTGGTCTTATATGTACAATACAAGTCCTGGCAAAGACTTGATATTTGAATGAAATACAACAGCAAGAATGAAATATTAGTGTAAAACTTCAATTTCTTTTTCAATTATTTCCAGAAAAACTATAAGCCCAAAGGCGAGGTAACAGAGTCTCCTCGAGCTATGGCGAAGTTCTACAAAGAAGCTTTAAGAGTCAAGCAAGTGTTGAGTGCCAACAGCGATCACTTTGCACAGGTATAAATTTGAAACTGGTCAAATTATTATTTCAATTGTTTTTTAAATGTTTAGCTCGAGGGGTGGATCCAGGGGGTAGTAATGGAAGTGTTTCCCCCCCCCCCCCCCCCAGCCAGCCCCATCATTTTGCACAACTTAATAAATAAATAAATTGTTTGTATTTATGAAAACATTTATTCAGATAAACTTTAATTTTGGTGTACTTTAAGCTCTCTATAGATGCAGCCATTTTGAATTGCAAGACTTTATGGGTTGACAGGGGGGAAAACACAAGAAAGAGGGCGAATAATATGTTGATTTTTCCCCTGTCTTTCATTTATAAAGTTGATTGATGTGTCTTCTATAGCTTTAATAATGACAGGCGATAATTATAAAGAAAACTATATATCATATAACCTCATTCAAATTTGGTTTATGAGAAAGAAATAGTTAATGGTACAAAAATCATCTGTTTTGTGTCTACTTTCTTCAACCTAAATGAGTGCCGAGAGTTTGAGAGTATGTGACTTACTTAGTTTTTTCCCTCCTCAGATTGAAGGAGTTTTTGAAGAGATTGACTTCCGTACCAAGGTAACAAGAGAAGAGCTTGAGGACATGTGTAAAGACCTGTTTGAAAGAGTCGCTGATCCTGTTTACAAGGCTCTAAAGTCTGCCTCCATGACAATGGTAAGTCTGGGAATATCATCGTATTGAAATAAACAGTGACTTTTTAACCATTCAGCAAGTATTCTTAAGTGAAAAGTGTGTAAGTCATAGAATTAGAAGATAAGTGTTCCATTTTCTTTTTCCGTAGAATGATATTGAAAGTGTAGTCCTTGCCGGAGGAGGAACGCGTGTACCAAAGGTGCAAGAAGCCCTGCTCAAGGCAGTTGAGAAGTAAGTACAGTGTGATTTGTATGAAAAAGCATTAAGAGGAGTCTTATCCCTGTTTCATCTCCCATATTAATAAACAAATGACATCACTACAGGAATTCCTAGAGTTAGCCGCACCCTGACTTTGAAGCAGCCCAGAGGTTGTTTCAGGGTTCGATGAAATTAAGGGTTTGATTTAAGGCACAATTACACGGAGCAATTTTCTCTGCAACTTGTCTCGCAACGGCATTGTGAGTGACACAAGTTTCATGGAGCACTGCACTGTGTAACCTACAGCGTAATATTTGAAAAATGTTGCGAGACAAGCTGCAGCAATTATTGTTTGCTTTTCTGTTGCACTGTGTAAACACTTATGCAACTTGTTTCACAATGCTGTGTCGCAACGCTGTTGCGAGACAAGTTGCAGAAAAAAATAATTGTTCTGTGTAACGGTGCCTTAAGTATTTGTTTATTTTTATCAAAGACCTGAACTTGCCAAGAACATCAATGCGGACGAGGCAGCTGCGATGGGTTAGTACAATCATGTGATTTCCTTCTGCTCTAGGAAAATTATTTTCAAGTGTTCTCTCTTGCTGAGGGGTAGCCTCCACTTTGTGTAGGATATCCACATGTTCCAATGAAGGTCCATGGGATTTCAAAACGTTTGTCTTATATTAGTGAAGTTATTCATTCTTTACTTTACCTTTGGTATAGACCCCTTGCAGCACTTTGGAATGCAGCTCAATCTGGGGAACAAAACAATAGGTCCCAATTCTCAGGAGATAGGAATTCTTTTGTTTTGTCCTCCAGATGGAGCTGCTTTGACGTCACATGCAAGGGGTCTATTTTTGAATATTTAGATGATGAAATAAGGCTAACCCTGAGTCTGTAGTCAAGGAACACAGCAGTAATTTGGACCTTGAAAGTGTTATTTTTCCTTTCTCGTATGAAAAGAGTGACTAGATATCATTGTTGTTATATTCTAGGTGCTGTGTACCAGGCTGCTAATCTCGGGAAAGGCTTCAAGGTCAAACAGTTCCTGATCCGTGACACCAACATCTACCCCATACAGGTATGGCATGATTGACTCCCAAAATTATACTCTAGAGTTTCCAGGAATAGTGATGGAAAAAAGAAAAAAAATGGTATTGACCCACAATCAGATGCCTCCCCTCCTGTTGGAGGGATTTTTTGATTGATTAGTGCGTATTCTCTCACTGCTAAGTCGCGTGTGTCCCTGCGCCCTTTTGTCAAAGCTCAGTCAAGGTCGCAAGGTTAGAATTTTAATAATCCTTTGAGAGTACCTTGGCACCTCGCTTGAGCGCTTTGTGCTTGACCAGTGAACCAATGTACGGCAAAATAATGGTGAATTATCTCTTCTTCCTTTAGAAAAAAATCTAATAATTTTTACCGTTTGAAAACTGAGTAACTTATTGACTATGTCTTATTTTTTGTGCTTGTGCAGGTATCGTTTGACCGCCATATCAAAGCTGATGATGGTAGCGAGTCAGTCCGGCATGTCAAGCGAGTTATCTACCATCATGCAAACGTTGTCCCTCAGAAGAAAGTCATGACGTTCAACAAACATACTGATGATTTTGACTTCCATGTGGCCTACACTGGGCTGGAAAATATCCTCTCTGATAAAGAAATACAGTGAGTAATATAGATAGAACACATGCTATGATTGGCTGTAGTAGCTATGGTCTGATTGACTGATAGTAGCTATGGTCTGATTGACTGAAAACATCCTAAGTGACAAGCTTTATAGTAGCGAAGTTTTAATGGATGAATTCAATTTCCAAATTCCAAATCTAGTCGATCTGTGAGTTAGCCGTACCCTGACTTAGATCAGCCCAGAGGTTGTTTCATGGTGGATCTGTGAGTTAGCCATGCCCTGACTTAGATCAGCCCAGAGGTTGTTTTAAAGTTCATTAAAATTGACCATGTTTTTACACATGAAGTTCTATTGAATGTCTTTTGTTCATATTTTCGCAGGATGTTCGGGTCTCTCAATATTTCCACCATCGGTATCAAGGGCGTGGCCGCTGCCCTCGACAAACACGCCAAAGGACAGTCCAAAGGAATCAAGGCGCACTTCAAGCTCGACGAGAATGGCCTTTTCAGCTTGGACAGGGTTGGTACTTTACATAATGTGAATTAATAAGCCATATACTATCTGTATAGACGTTTTGCACGACCATCACGTGCCCACGCTTAAAATACACCTTGGGCTGCCTGTGGATAGATGACAGAACAATGAAATCCATTTGTTCTTGGGAATTGAATTCCTTTTCAGTAAAACGATTGTATAGTTTCTGCCAACTAACATGGCTGCTGCCACGTGGTGGTGCAAAACCTTTATTCTGAAAGTGTTATTTGTTGTACAAATAACGACATCGGAGAGGATACCATAGGGAAATGTTATATAGTAAACAAAGGCTTACGCGCTACAAAATGTACTACATTTTAGATCTGGTATAGTAGTAATAAATTATGCGTTCGGTGTTTGTAATGAAATAGATGAATAGATGAATATTGAATAGCTATATACATTTTAGATCGATTTCTTCATTCGTTTGTGTTAAGGACACTATTTTGATCTTGAAAACAAAAGAATTCAATAAAGGCGATTTTTGCATTTATCTAAAATGGGGTCCCTGTGGTTTTTGTCGTGCAGGTGGAATCAGTCTTCGAAAAGACAGCAGAACAAGTAGAAAAAGAAGAAGAGTCTACATTGTCTAGTAAGTCATAAAAGCGACACTCCCTCTATTCAAACGTACATCAATAGACCGGATCGCTAGCTTGTGAAACAGCTCGGCACGAAGCACAGTGCTGTAACCAATTTGAACGGACAACTGTACGACTGTGCCTTATCCGTGACGGTATCGCATTAGAGCATTTATATTGGATGATCATTTATCGCGCATGCTGTGATTGGTTGGCTGTAAAACGACACGGTACGGCACAAGGTCGTGTAACCACTCTGAACTTACAACTATTTGGACGTGCCGTGCCGTGACCTTAACGATACCATATTAGTATTTTTATTGGATGATCAGTTATCTCGCTCACTGTGATTGATTCATTTCGTAGAGTGACTTCACCGCTTGTCGTACCGTTTCTTAGTCATACGCAATTTATCCTCTGAGCCAGATAGTGTGCGAGGTCATTGGTCAGCCAATAACAGTGTTCATATATACCATCAATGTTCTTACCATAACGAATACGAAACCGCGTGTCCGCTCCGCGACTTTTTCACAGTCATTCTAAAATATCTTTATCTGAGACTAAGATCTATAAAATGGTTTTTCAGAACTTGGAAGCAAGATATCCAGTTTTTTCGGTGCTGGTGGCGATGAAGACAAGAAAGAAGCTAAAGTTGAGGTAAAATATTTGTGTTGTATTTTTTAGAATAAAAGCATGTGCGTGTACTAGTTTAATGTTCTCTGCCTCTTGTTTGAAGGAATCTAAAGAAGCTGACAAAGATGAAAAGGCAGAAGAGGAAAAAGAGGCTAAAAAGGAACAGAAAGACGATAAAGATAAAGAAGAAAGTAAAGAGGAGCTGAAGAAAGAAGAAGAAAGGAAGGACAAGGAAGACGAAAAGGAAAAAGAAAAAGAAAAAGATAAAACCGAAGGTGAACCGAAAAGAGAAGAAAAGAAAGACGATAAGAAAGAAGAAGATTCCAAAGCTGAAAACAAGAAAACCTCCGAAAAGGTAAAAATATTTCACATTAATTTTTGATATGGCTATTTTCTCGGTCGGTGGATCTGTCTTGCGGTTTGCGCCACAGTCGGTCTGTCCGTCCGTCTGGAGGTTTTTGCGCC